ACTTCTTTCTTATCTTATACATAATCACGAATCTAATTTCCATATAATATACATAGAGAATTATTCTTATTCACAGCTAAGCTTTTACAGGTTATTTGTAATTAAGTACAAAATAACAGTTAATAATAATTAATATTAATTATCTTTCAAATCGTTACATATTGATCTTATAACTTTTCAACTAGTTTTCATTACACGTATGATATATTATATATTTAACAAAATTGTTATCAAGTTACTATTGCAGTTAAACTGTAAATTTATTATTTATTGAAGATAATAGGGAATTAATTCTCCCCTCGTTCAAAAGTAACATTAGTATATAAATAAAGTAGTTACTTCAAGGCCACTTTTGTATGCAAAAAAGATTTGCAAATTTGAATCATCTGCAAGAACACCTATGTCAATGCAATCCTCTCCATAATTTCTGTCTATATTTAATGGCACTCCGTTATTCTCTGAATCCCTTCCTAACAATTGTATCGATCAATCGAATTCCAATAGCTTAAATCATCTTAAAGAATAGAATATAAACTCCGTTTATATAAACTGGACGTGAGACAGATTGGTTTAATTGGAATTCATATAACAGGCGCCCACTGATCCTCTCCCCCCTGCTGCTGATTTTTCGTTCACACAATAAGGAGCTTAGATTTGAATAAATGGATTCAATCAGCAAAGGTTCAACGTTCAACTGGCCCGAAATTTTCATTCAACTGGATAGAGATTCATATAAACGGACTTGATCCTCATTAAATTAAAGGATTATTCTAACAACAAGGTGCCATTACTATTATTACCATTTACCTTGGCAGGTTTATCCATGATACGATAGGTGAGCGAATCGCGATGACCGGTTGCGATGACGGCGCCCGCCTTACGAGACACGCATTGCCCCATATAGATTCCCCAACCTTGTCCCAGCACAATCTATATACAACCATAAACAATCGTTAAATCATCGTCTGAAATTATTACGTGCATCGAAATTATTACGTCTGTCAGAAACTGATATCTTATCATATATAAAACCATATCCAGCAGCCAGTACACGTTCAATGTTCTGGCACTCCTGGCACTATGGATTGACTTACCTTTTTTATCTCATTTAATCCTTAAAAGCTAACATGGGTGAAATTTCACTCCAAAATCTTAATCTTATCTCAATGATTTATTATCTCGATGCTATTTACGATTTTCTGTATTTCATTTGAAACTGATTAACAACATTTAATTACATTTGTTTCACGTAATTGAAGCATTTAATATTGACGACAACTTTTAAGGATTTAGTTTAAAGTAGTTGATTGTAGTATCTTTAATAACATATTACTGAAGAAAGCGTTAATTTTTAGCATAACATAAAATATATATGTACATATATGTATGTAAGACTTACAGTGGCACAAAGGAAACTTAAAATTAATATTTGTACATATGATATTAAAAATTTGTAACTTTTATAGATATTTTTTTATCAAGATTAATTGCAGTTATTTATTTTATTTTATACTATGTATATATTACATTTATATATATATATATATATATTATATTTTATCATGAATTATTTCATTTTTGAACTTTCTTCTATCTGTTATTGTGTTCAAAAAATTTCGTGATAATTTGTGATAAAAAAAAGAAGAAAGAAATTAGAAAACCTTGATACCTTTTACTAAACTAATGTTACAAAGATATATCAGCAGTAGTACTGGCACAAATAGTTCCTCACAAACCTGTATAAATCTGTAGATTTAAATAAAGTGTGAAGTTACATAAGGATGTAGAAGATAATGTGCAAGATGCGTGACAGAGATTAGAAAAACAAGTGGATACCTAAAGAGTAAGTCCAGTAAGAGTGTGAACATATGTGTAAAAAATAAATACCGTGTAATATTCCATTACATGTTCCAATACCTTCAATTTATATATCTACACATAATGAAATAACTGTTTAATATTAAAATATTAAATAATTTAAATCTTCATACACTCTCTGAATTGTATAACACATTACATTAAAATTTGCATTAATTGAAAATATTATTGTTCTTATTTTATTACAAATTTTTTCAAACAAGACATTAGACATAAGATTCAATTTACTAATGAAGAGCAATAAAATTTCTGTCAGATAATTTTGAAATAGTTATTATTATTATTATTATTTTTCAATCTTATATGAATAAAAAACTTTCACATAAATGATATTTTTGAAATTTATTACCTTAATTTTAAAAGTGAAAGTAATTAAATTTAGATATTACATGTATGACACTTTACAAAGAGTAATACAAATTATTTAAATTCAATTACAATCCAGTATACGATTTAAAGCTATTTCCTATTATATATATATATATATATA